CCTCAGTCAACCCAGGGAGGCAGAATAATCACATGGAGGTTAAGAGTGTACATTTCAGAATAAGACTGCTTGGTTCAAATTCAGATCTCACCATATACCAGTTATGTGAGGTTGAATAAAATATTTGATCTGTTTAAATGTCAATTTCCTAATTTCCCTACCCTAGTCCTTAGCAGCCACAAATACGCTTTCTGTCTCTATGTATACGTCTGTTCTGGATATTTCCTAAAAATGGAACCATACAATATGTCACTTTTTGTGTCCAGCTTCTGTAACTTATCAAAATAATTCAAAGGTTCATCCACATTGTTGTATCAGTGCTCCATTCCTTTTTATGGCTAATACTCCATTTTACAGATAAACCAAACTTTGTTTACCCATTCATATGTTGATGGACATTTACACTGTTTCCACCTTTGGGCCATTGTGAAAGTGTTGATTAACATACAAGTTTTGTCTGAGCATCTGATTTCAATTTTGAGGGTCCATGTCTAGAAATGAAGTTACTAAATCACATGGTAATCCTATGTTTAATTTATTGACAAGCCACCGAACTGTTTTACATTGACGCTGCAACATTTTATATTCCCACTAGTAATGTATGATGGTTCTAATTTATTCACGTCCTCTCCAACACTTGTTATTTTCTTTTTCATTATACAAGTTTCAGGTGTACAGCATTATAATTTGACATCTGTATACACTACAAAGTGATCACCAACACAAGTCTAGCTGCCACCATCACCAAATAGTTGACCCCCTTCACCTATTTTGCCCACACCCCAACCCCCTTCTCCTTCTGGTAACCACTAATCTTTTCTCTATATCTATGACTTTGTTTTTGTTTCACTCATTTCATTTTTAGATTCCACATTTAAGTGAAATCATACAATATTTGCCTTTCTTCATCCGATTTATTTCACTTAGCATAATACCTTCAAGGTCCATCCGTACTGCCGCAAGCAGTAGGATTCCATTCTTTTTTATGGCTGAGTAGTTTTTCATTGTATATTTGTACCACATTTTCTTTATCTGTTCCTCTGTTGATGGATACTTAGGTTGTTTCCATATCTTAGCTATTGTAAATAATGCTGCAATGAACATAGCGGTTCATATATCTTTTCAAATTATTATATTCATGTTCTTTGGATAAATACAAAGAAATGGAATGGTTGGGTCATATAGAAGTTTTACTGCTAATTTTTTGAGGAATCTCCACACTGTTTTCCATAGTGGCTGCACCAATTTATAGTCCCACCAACAGTGTACGAAAGTTCCCTTTTCTCTACATCCTCTCCAACATTTTTTTAATTTGTCTTTTTGAGAACAGACATTTTAACAGGTGTGGCTTTGATTTGCATTTCCCTAATAATTAGTGACTTTGAACATATTTTCGTATGCCTGTTGGTCATCTCTATGTCTTCTTTGGGAAAATGTCTATTCACATCATCTGCCTGTTTTTTAATTGGCTTGTTTAGGGTTTTGTTGTTGCTGTTGAGTTGTATCCCTTACTGAATATATGATTTACAAACATCTCCCATTCAGTAGGCTGACTTCTCATTTTGATAATGGTTTCTTTTACTGGGCAGAAGCTTTTTAATTTGATGTTGTCCCATTTTTTTTGTTTTGTTTTTTGCTGTTGATTTTTGCTTTTGTTTCTCCTGCTTTTGGAGCCAGATCCACAAAAACGTTCCTAAGACTGATGTCAACGCAGTTACTGCCTGTGTTTTCTTCTGGAATTTTATGATTTCAGGTCTTATATTCAAGTCTTTTATCCATTTTAAGTTAATTTTTGTATAAGGTGTAAAACAGTGGTCTAGTTTCATTCTTTTGCATGTGGCTGTC